AATAGCAGCAAAATTAAGATAAAAACACGGAAATATTATAATAGGCAAATAAAACATTTGACAAATTCCAACAACCATTCCTGAGTAAAAAACTAAAACACAAACTCTGTAAAATCAGGGATAAGTATTCTTCAACTTAAATGGTGATTTATGAAAACCCTACAGCTAACATCATACTCAACGATTAAAAGCTAAAAGCTTTTCTTCAGAAGATCAGGAACAAAAGAAGGATGTCCATTCTGACCACTTTTATCCTAAATAGTATTGAAGGCCTAGCTGGTGCAATTAGGTAAGAAAAAGAAATAAGCGGCATCCAAATTAGCAAGGAAAAAGTAAAACTGTCACTATTTTCAGATGACATATTATACAGAAAGTCTTAAAGACTCCAAAATCTCTACTAGAACTAATCAATGAATCCGGTAAAGTTGTAAGGTACAATATGCAAAAATCTGTCGCATTTCTGTATACCAATAATAAACTATCAGAATTAAGAAAATGAACCCATTTACAATTGCATAAAAAAATACCTAGGAATAAATTTAACCAAGGAGAAGAAAGACCTGTACACTAAAAATTATAGGATACTGATGAAAGAAACTGAAGACACAAATAAATGGCAAGATATTCCATGCTTATTGATTAGAAAAATTAATAGTTAAAATGCCCACACTACCCAAAGCAATCTATAGATTCCATGCAATTCGTATCAAAATTCCAATGGTATTTTTCACAAAAATAGAACATACAATACTAAAATGTATATGGAACCACAAAAAGACCCTGATTAGCCAAATTGATCATAAGAAGAATAAAACTGGAGGCATCATGTTTCCCGATTTCAAAACTATATTAAAAAGCCATAGTAGTAAAAAGAGTATATTGGCATAAAAAGTTGCACAGATCAATGGAACAGAATAAACACTCTAGAAAAAAACCCATGCATATATGGTCAATTAATTTAGAACAAAAAAGCTGAGAATACACAATGGGGAAAGGAGAGTGTCTTCAAAAAATGGTGTTGGGAAAACAGGACAGCCACATGCAAAAAAAAAAAAAAGAAAGAAAAAAGAAAAAAGAAAGAAAGAAAGAAAGAAACTGGACCACTACCTTTCACCATACACAAAAATTAATTCAAAATGGATTAAATTTTTAATATGAGACCTGAAACCACAAAACTCCTAGAAGAAAACATAGGCAGTAAGCTCTTTGCTGTCAGTCTTTCCAATGAGTTTGGATATGACACCAAAAGAAAAGGCAACAAAAGCAAAAATAAACAAGTGGGACTAGATCAAATACCAAAGGAAACCATCACAAAATGAAAAGGGGAACCTACAGAATGGGAGAAAATATTTGCAAATCATATATCTGATAAAGGGTTAATATTCAAAATATATAAAGAACTCACATGACTCAATAGCAAACACAACAACAATCCAATTAAAAGTGGGAAAAGGATTTGAACAGGTATTTTTCCAAAGAAGACATACAGATGGTGTATGTGTTCGGCATTCCTAATCATCAGGGAAATGCAAATCAAAACCACAGTGAGATCTCATATCACACCTGTCAGAATGGCTATTACCAAAAGACAAGAAATAACAAGTATTGGCAAGGATGTGGCAAAAAGGGAATTCTTTTGCATTGTTGGTGGTAATGTAAATTGGTACAAGCACTCTGAAAACATTATGGAGTTTCCTTAAAACGTTAAAAACAGAACTACCTTAGGACTCAGTAATTCTGCTTCTGTGCCTTTGTTGAAAAGGAATTGATCATATATATGTGAGTCCATTTCTGCACTGTGTATTCTACCTAATCTCATGCTGTCTTGATTACTATAGTTTTATATATTAATCAAGTTTTATACTGAAGATTGCTAATAAGTTTAGTAATAAAGTAGTAGTAATAAAGTTTTATATTGAAGATTGCCATTCTGCCTGGATATTTATCAGAAGGAAATGAAAACACTAAGTCAAAAAGATAAACTTCCATGTTTACTACAGCATTATTTACAAGACCCAAGACATGGAAGCAACCTAAGTATCCACTGATGGATGAATGGATAAGTAAAATGTGGTATATATACACAATGGACTATTATGCCGTCATAAATCAGAAGGAAATCTGTTATTTGCAGCAACATGGATGGCTCTTGAGAGCATTATGCTGAGTGAAAAAGACAGTGAGAAAATACTATACAATCTCACTTATATGTGGAATCTAAAAACAACAAACATACAAAACCAAAATCAAAGATACAGAGAACAGACTGGTGGTTGCCAGAGATGGGGGGGTTTGGCTCTGGTGAAATGGATGAGGGTGGTCAAAAGGTACATACTTCCAGTTATAAAACAAGTTAAGAAGATGTAATGTATATCATGATGATAGTTATTAATACTGTACTGTAGATTTCAAATTGCTAAAAGAGTAGAACTTAAAAGTTCTCATAATAAGAAAAAGAATTTATGACTGGTATGGATGGTAACTAGACCTATAATCACTGCATAATATATATATATATATGCATATATATTATATATGCATATATATATGTATTATATCATGTTGTACACCTGAAAGTAATGTTTATCTATATTATTATGAATATAACTTAATTATAACTCTAAAAGAGCAGGAAAAATGTGTTAAAAATACTAGAATATAAAACTTCCTTCCTTCCAAAAAGAACTACATAAACATCCCCAGATTAAATTCCTAAACGCAAACAAAAACAAAAAAAAACCTTACAGGTTGCACCATACTGAATAGTGAAAGAACAACCAAATGCTTCCCCCTATGATCAAGAACAGGATATATCCACTCTTTTTTTTTTCTTTGATATAGCATTAGAGGTTCTAGCCAATACAATAGGAAAATAAAAAGAAATATATGTTACCCAGATTGAAAAGGAAGAAACAAAACTCTCTTTATTAGCAGATGGCATGTTCTATGTAGAAAATCTGATGAGTCTACAAATATTCTACTACAGCTAAGAGTGAATTTAGTAATACTGCAGTAAAACTATAAAATACAGCTGACAGCAATTAAAGAAGACCAAAATAAATGGTGAAATATACCACGGTCATGGGTCAGAAGACTCAATATTGTTTAGATGAAAATTCTCCATATATTGATCTATGGATTCAATGCAATCTCAAACCAAATCCCAGCAGTTTTTTCATAAAGAAATAGATTCTAGGGGTGCCTGGGTGGCTCAGTGTGTTGAGCCTCTGCCTTCAGCTCAGGTCATGATCTCAGGGTCCTGGGATCGAGCCCCACACTGGGCTCTCTGCTCAGCGGGGAGCCTGCTTCCCCCGCTCTCTCTGCTTACTTGGGATCGCTCTCTGTCAAATAAATAAATAAAATCTTAAAAAAAAAATAGATTCTAAAATTCATGGGATGGCAAAAGACCTAGAATAGCCATAATCACCTGAAAAAGAACAAAGTCAGAGGACTAACACTAGCAATCTTCAATATAAAACTTTATTAATATATAAAACTATAGTAATCAAGACAGCATGAGATTAGATAGAATACACAGTGCAGAAATGGACTCATATATATGTGATCAATTCCTTTTCAACAAAGGCACAAATACAGCTTAGACCCAAAAAAATAGTCTTTTCAACAAATGGTGCCTACACAATTGTGCATATATATATATTTATATCTTTTAAAAGAAACTTCAGTCCACATCTTGCAATATATACAAAAATTCATGCCAAATGGATCTTAAACTAACTATGAAATCTGACACTTATAAAACTTCTAGAAGAATAGACTATCTTTGTGACCTTAGAGTGAGTGACCAAAAAGATCTCTTGGATATACCACAAAAAGCACAATCCATAAAGGAAAAAATTTATAATTAGACTCCATCAAAATTAAAAACTGTTAAAAGAATGAAAAGAATAAAATATAACTGGGAGAAAGTTATTCTCAAATCATGTATCAGAAATCTTAAAGAACGAAGTAGGGTTAATAGATGCCAAACATTTCCAAGATACAGGATTAAAGAAAAACAAAGTGCAGGGTACTATACATAATCTGCTACCCTTTGCAATTTTGTTTTAAACAAAAAAGGATACCGAACCAACCCATCCAATAATTGTTTCTATATGCATAGAATATCTCTCGAAAGAGACCCAAAAAGTGATGAGAAACAGAGATAGGGAGAGAAGGAGGAAGGGAAGGAGGAGGAGAGACGGCAGGAGAGTGAGAGAGTAGGAAAGACAGAGATGAGGGGTAGGCTGAGATTCGGTGTGGAAGGGAAACAGTTTTCACTACATACTTTTTCAAACTAGGATTTTTTTCCTACACAAATGTACCACTTTTTCAACAAACATAAAATGATTTATTGATTCCATCTTTGTGAGTTCTGTACTATAGAACACTTAAGCCAGGGTGCCTGGGTGGCTCAGTCAGATAAAAGTCTGGCTTTTGATTTCGGCTCAGGTCATGACTTTAGGTGGTGAGACAGAGTCCCGTATCAGGCTCCATGCTCAGTGCAGAGTCTGCTTGAAATTCGTTCTTCCTCCCTCTCCCTTCCCCTCTGTCCCTTCCCCCATTTGCATGCATACACTCTCTCTTTCTCCCTCTAAAATAAATAAAACCTTCTTTAAAAAAGTCTCAAGACTTTTATTTTATTAATTTGTTATTTAAAATTGACCTATAATTGATATATAACTCAGTAAAGATTTTTAAAAATTTATTTATTGAAAGATTTTATTTATTTATTTGAGAGAAAGCAAGAGTGAAAGATATCATGAAGGGAGAGAGAGAGAGACTCAGAATTCCCACTGAGCAGGGAGCCCGATGTGGGGCTTGATCCCAGGACCTTTGTGATCATGACCTGAGCCACAGGTGGACACTTAACCAACTGTGCCAACTAGGTGTCCCAGGATTTTTAAAAATTTAAATAAATGATTAGTTTCCGTTTGCATAGCCCCTGTAATAGATGTAAAAGCATGGCAATTTTAAACTGAACTTAAGATGACACTCACCCTTTTCCGGGCTTCAGATTTCTGGAAGCACTCGTGCTGTATGAAAGTAGCTGCAGCAGAAATTCTGGGTGGCAGTGTGTGGTCTGCGTCGAGTACACTCACTGCTCGCTCCAGAGTCATCTCCATGTCTGCATTCCTAGACAAACAGTCACAGAGTCAGCGGAATTCCAGACCTGCTCCCTCTTGCCTCCCAACCTGATATCCAGAAATGATTTGGCTTATATCCAAAAGCACATAGAACATCTGAGCCTTGGCTTCTCTTCACCCAAAAGAAAGATCAGCACCTGAGATCAGAAGGTACAAGAAGCTAGCAGTAGAAATATTCCCGGTCAGACTAACCTCTGAAAAGAAAGAAACTGAACTCTGTTTAAAATAAGTAATATGGGGGCGCCTGGGTGGCTCAGTGGCTTAAAGCCTCTGCCTTTGGCTCAGGTCATGATCCCAGGGTCCTGGGATCGAGCCCCCATCGGGCTCTCTGCTCCTCAGAGAGCCTGCTTCCTCCCCTCTCTACCTGCCTCTCTGCCTACATGTGATCTTTGTCTGTCAAATAAATAAATAAAATCTTTTAAAACATAAATAAATAAATAAATAAATAAGTAATATGTAGTATGATAATCGCATATTAAAAGGCCACTTTAAAGGCAAAATAAGGGGTACCTGGGTGGCTCAGTCAGTGGAGCCATTTAAAAAGTAGGTAAGTAAGTAAGTAAGTAAATAAATAAATAAATAAAGGCACAATAAGACTTCACATGGAATTTAAAATAAATTTGGTCTTAAAAATTAAAAATATTTCTACCATGGTAATGTTATACTTGTGGATGAAACACCTTCCCTCAATAATCATTAGATTTTTCTCAGATCTGTTCAGAATCTGTTATTTTACCTGAAAATGAGTTTTAAAATGAGCATTCAGTAAGTTTTCTAACAAATGAAACAGTATGTAAACAGTACCAGGAAAACTGAATCTGTTTTGTTCACAAAGGTCATGCTGATGTGACCGAATCCATTAGGAAAAGTAATGATTAAACATAATATTAATGTGCTTTTTCTTAAAGAAAACAATTTCTGTCATCATTGTTTTGCCACTGCCATGACATTTGGTGTATGTCTATCTAGTAAGATACTTTTGTCCTTTACTAATTGCAGGTATTTATAATGATGATGAAATTTGATGTAGTTTGACACAAGAGAGAATAATTGATAGAGGACAAATAAAATTGCCATTTGTAAAATAATAACTCCTAAATGCCTCATCAAACTGGTTTTTTCTCCCCTTTTATTTCTGCCTAGAGGGGAACTACCTTAAGCAACCTGTTACCACTGTGGATGTTAACACATTCATGCTTCCTCAAGCACTGACTCAGAGAAAGCAGACTCAGGATGTCAACATCTTAGAATTGCAGCTAAAGACGTGCCTTAAAGGTATCCTAGGACTTTGGCTTCAAAGAGAGTTACACCTGATTCATTCCTGGTAATAGAGAACAAAAAGATAGCTTGGCAGGGTGTTTTCCAGTATTTGCTAACAAGCACAAAGAGTACAGGCATACCATGTCTTATTGTACCTGGTACCTTACTCTACGATGCTTTGCAATATTGCTTTTTTAAAAATTTGAAGGTTGCAGCAACCCTGCGTCAAGCATGCCTATCAGTGCCATTTTCCCACAGCATTTTCTAACCTGATGTCTCTATGTCATATTTTGTAATTCTCATAATGTTTCAAATTTTTGCTATGATGATTGGTGATCAATGATCTTTTTTTTTTTTAAAGATTTTATTTATTTATGTGACAGACAGAGATTACAAGTAGGCAGAGAAGCAGAGAGAGGAGGAAGCAGGCTCCCTGCTGAGCAGAGAGCCCGATGTGGCGCTCGATCCCAGGACCCTGAGATCGTGACCTGAGCCGAAAGCAGAGGCTTTAACCCACTGAGCCACCCAGGCGCCCGATCAATGATCTTTGATGTTACTACTCTATTTGGGCGGGGATGCCATGAACCACACCCACATAAGATGGTGAAATTGACTAATAAATGCATGTGTTCTGACTGTTCCACTAACTCGTTGTTTATCCGTCTCTCTCCTTCTCCTTAAGGCCTCCTATTCCCTGATACACAGATTGAAATTAGGCCAGTTAATAACCCTACAATTACCTCTAAGTGTTTGAGTAAAAGGAAGATTTGCACGTCTCTCACTTTAAATCAAAAGCTAGAAATTATTAACTTCAGTGAGGAAAGCCAAGAAAGGCTGATAGCCAGGCCTCTTACACCAAACAGTTGGCCCAATAGTGAACGCAAAGGAAAAGTTTCCAAGGAAATAGAAAGTTCACTCTGGTGAACACACAAATGGTGAGAGAGTAAAACAGCCAGGAAGCCTGGGTGACTCACTGGGTTAAGCGTCTGCCTTCGGTTCTGATCAGGATCCTGGAGTCCTGGGGTTGAATCCACAGAATGGGACTCCACACTCAACAGGGAGTCTGCTGCTCCCTCGCTCTCTGCCCTTCTCCTCAGCCAGCTCCCACCCCCTCACCGCCTCCTGCTTGTGCTTGGTCTCTAGCTTGCTCTCTCTCTCAAGTAAATAAATAAAATCTTTAAAAAAAAAAAAAAAAAGTGAAACAACCTTATTGCTGATATGGAGAAAGTTTCAGTCGTTTGGAAAGATGATCAAACCAGCTATAATATACCCTTAAGCCAAAGCCAAAATCACAGCAGGGCCCAGACTCTCCTCAACCATGTGAAGTCTGAGAGAAGTGAGGAAGCTGCAGAAGAAAATTGTGAAGCTAGCAGTTCATAATGTTTAAGGAAAGAAGCTGTTTCCATAACATAGAAGTGCAAGGTGAAGCACCTTTAAAAAAAAAAAAAAATTATTTGAGAGAGAAAGTGCATGCAGGGTGGGGTGGAAGGGCAAAGAGGGGGAGAGAAAGTCTTAAGCAGACCCCTCACTGAGGGCAGAGCCTAAGTGGGCTTAATCTCCCAACCCTGCGATCAGGACCTGAGCTGAAATCAAGAGTTGGATGCTTAACTGACTGCACCACTCAGGCGTCCCTCAAGGTGAAACACTTTTAAAGATATCTATATATCTATAGATATATATCTACATATCTATATATAGATCTACATATCTATCTATATATCTACATATCTATACATCTATCTATAGATATATACATGTATATACATACATATATATCTATATATATGTTTTTAAATTTATTTTTATTAGAGAGAGTGCATGCAAGTTGGGGAGGAGGGGGAAGAGAGAGAGAGTGAATCTCAAGCAGACTGCACACCTAGCATGAAGCATGATACAGGGTTTGATCTTATGACCCTGAGATAGTGACCTGAGCCAAAATCAGGAGTCAGGTGCTCAACCGACTGAGCCACCCACGCACCCCTAGGTGAAGTACTTTGTAGAAGCTACAGCAAGTTATCCAGAAGATCTTGCTGAGATCATTAATGAAGGTGGCTACACTAAACAACAGATTTGCAATGGAGACCAAGCAGCTTTATATTAGAAGAAGATGCCATCTAGGACTTCCACAGCCAGAGAGGAGAAGTCAATGCCGGGTTTCAAAAAACAAGGTCTTTTGTTAGGGGCTATTGCAGCTGGGACTCTAAGTTGAAGCCAATGCTCACTTACCATTTCTAAAACCCTAGGGCTCTTAAGAATTATGCTAAATCTACTTTGCCTGTGCTCTATCGAGGGAACAACAAACCCTGGATGACAGCACATTTGTTTGCAACATGGTTTACTGAATATTTAGCCCAGTGTTGAGACCCACTCCCCGGAAGAAAAAATACCTATCAAAATATTACTGTTCATTGACAGTGCACCTGGTCACCAAGAAATCAGATGGAGACATACGACGAAATCAAAGTTGTTCTTAGGCTTACTATCGCAATATCCATTCTGCAGCCCATGGGTGAATGAGTAATTCTGACTTTCAAGTCTTACTATTTAAGAAATACATTGCTTTGGCAGTACATGTACTAAAATTGGAACCACACAGAGATTAGCATGGCCTCTGTGCAAGGACGACATACAAATTCATGAAGCGATTTACAGTTTTTATAAGTCGGTAATAAAAGGCACAGCATAAGTATAGTCGATGATACTGTAATAGCGTTGTATGGTGACAGATGGCAGCTACACTTGTGATGAGCATAGCATAATGTATAAACTTGTGGAATCAATATGTTATATACCTGAAAATAATGTAACATTGTGCATTGACTACACACACTCAATTTAAAAAAATAAAAAATAAATACATTGCACAAGGCTATAGCTTCCTTAGATAGTAATTCCTCTGATGGATTTGGACAAAGTGAATTGAAAAACTTCTAGAAAGGATTCACCATTCTGGGTGCCACACAATAGCAGTCCTGATTCAACATGCCTGGCTGGCTCAGTTGAAAGAGCAAGTGACTCTTGATCTCAGGGTCACGAGTTTGACCCTCACATTGGGTGTAGAGATTACGTAAATTAATAAAACTAAACTAAACTAAAATAAAGAGCATCCTGATTGACAGGAAGAGGTCAAATATCAACATTAACAGAAGGTGGGAAAAAGTTGATTTCAGCCCTCATGGATGCCTTGGAGGGGTTCAGGACTTCGGTAGAGGAAGCAGCTGCAGCTGTGGTGGAAACAGCCAGAGAACGAGAATTGGAAGGGGAGCCTGAAGCTGGGACTGAATTGCTGCAGTCTCCTGATAAAACTTTAATGCAAGAGCAGTTGCTTCGTATGGATGAGCAAAGAAAATGGTTCCTCGAGATGGAATCTATTGCTGGTGAAGAGGCTGTGAAGATTGTAAAAATGACAACAAAGGGGTTGGAATATTACATCAACTTGGTTGATAAAGAAGCCGCAGGGTTTGGGAGAATTGCTTCCAAACCTGAAAGAAGTTCTCCTGTGGGTAAAATGCTATCAAATAGCGTCACATGCTAAACGAAATCATTCATGAAAGGAAAAGTCAATCAATAGGGCAAACTTCATTGTCTTATTTTAAGAAACTGCCACACCCCAACCTTCAGCAACCACCACTCCCATCAGTCAGCAGCCGTGAACAATGAGGTAAGAACCTCCACCAGGAAAAAGATAACCGCTCTCAGAACGCTCAGATGATGGTTAGCATTTTTTTA